TAATTTCATCCAAATGACAGCACCTTCTATAGCACAATGTACCTGGTCACCATATCAGAACACTGGCTGGGAAAATGGTTCAGAGGAAACAGCAACTCCTACTGGTCCACCAGCTTAACACACGGCAAAACACTTAATCCTGGTAGTGACTGGGCTCATCTGACCACAAGGTGGTAACTTACAGAGCACCTCCACCAACCTTACCAACATGCCTCACGACTGACACAATGACAGACTTGCACTGATGAAAACTGTGAAACAGGGGCTCTCCGGAAGACACACGGTACAGAGAAAAGGACAGCGAGACGGACCTGATCAGAAGATGGTGAAATGATTCCTGCTCTCACCTGTTCATTAGTGGTCCGTCCCCTGGCCACCAGTACAATGTGGAAACCCGTCAGCCCAGCCACTGGGATGAAGAAGAGCCCAGCCACACACATCACCGCCATCCTGGACAGGGAGAGGGTCAAGGACAAACACACCCACACCGCCAGGGAGGCCAGCTCTGCTGTCACATGCCAAGACAGGACAACGACTGGCCGTGCCTCTGCCCCGCAGACCCGAGAGAGAAGATCAGATGTTGAAGAGAGGGCAGTGTTCACCTACAGTGCGTGTGATGGTCAGCCACAGCTCTGCCCTGCCCCCTACTGGGACATAATCACACTTCTCTTTCCCCTCTCCTGCAGCAGGAGGGAGGTGCACTGTCTCAGTTTTGGGGAGCTAGGAGATGGGGCGTGATCTTACCTTTTGTAATGGGCCAATGCCCATGATGGGCAGCCCAGGATTTAAGTCCTGCAGGTTTTAAAGGTACTTCTCAACCAGAAAATCAGGTAGTTAATCAGGTAATTAGGGTCAGGGGTCGATATCCCACACGGTCATTACAGGACCAGAGCATCGGCACTGAAGGATACGTGACGGCACAGTGGATCTTGCCCAGCTCCTCGGTGTGGTAGAGGATGAACAGAAGGCCGAAGCCAAAGACGCCCATGATGTGCGTGGTGAGGGACAGCAGGAACAGGAAGAAGTAGCGGTAGTTGCGACGACCGATGCAGTTGTTCACCCAGGGGCAATGGTGGTCGAAGTCCTGCAGGGGAGAGAGAGCGAGAGGTTGTAGCTGTGGGCGTTGCGTGGTTGTGAAGAGGGAACGAACGCAGCGAGCACTGGAAAAGGGAATGAAACTGCGACGCCCCCGGTATATTATTGCAAACAACAGCGTGCGATACAGTAAAGGAAATACATGCCAGTGGGGGACAAGGGGATGGTACGATGATATACTGCAGTAAAACAGTATAGTGCAGCGAAGGACTACACACTGCAAAGCAGGCTTAATTGGCTCAATCATCCCAAAACGTAAAACACTTGGTACAGCAGCAAGTGTGACAGACAGAAGTTGACCAGAATGCAGTACAAGGGTAAGAGCAGTTTCAGTTAAGTCAGCTAAAATGTCTATTAGTCGTATTTTAGTCACATGCTTAATTTGGTCTAACCAACTAAAATTACAGAAACCACTTACTTGTAGCTGAATTCACTTTTAGTCACATTTCAGCAATGCATTTGAATTTAGTGGTATAAAACTATAAAGGTTGTAGTTTCATTCATTTTGAGTCTTTGGAATATCTAGCAAATATAGCCCTTTAGTAACTGCTAGGGCCGTTCCGAATGGACAGGCAGCCCGTCCCGACCCGTCAGTCGGCGTACCTCCACACAGTTGTCGCAGACGGAGCAGTGGGAGCAGCGGGGGGGTCTGTAGAACCGGCAGGTGGAGCACCACTTCATCCGCACCTGGATCCCTCGGATCTCCACCGTCTTGTACAGCGGGGCCCGGAAATCGTCCTCCTTGTCCTCATCCTCCTCCGCTGGGGGCCGGAAGAGATGGGAATAATTAAGACACAGCACAGGGCTGGGAGCCTGCAGCGTGACAGGCGCCGAGACGGAAGAAAAGCGATCTGGCAACACAGGACTCCAGGAACAGCACTGTGGAGGACAGGTGGCTCAACGCTGCACCAATACTGCCCAGAGACAGGAGGAGAGGAGACAGACAGACAGACAACCAGGGCGCTCCGGTCAGCAGTTACCTCGGGGGAAGATGCCAGGGTCCATGAAGGTGGCCATGCAGAAGTTGGCCAGAACGAAGAGGAAGATGACGCCATTATAGATGGGGATCGCCATAGAGAACTGGTGCGTCAACCAGGGACACCTGAATGGGGGA